TGGGTGGGGAGGAGGCACTCAGTGTTCTCTGGTCAGCAGATTTTTCTAGAAGCCTCCTGGGGCCTGTGCCATGTGACACTTGACAGGCAGTTGGCTTTTACTCTGTCCCTGGTCTGGGCTGAATGCTGGAGTTAGAGATAACCAGGATTGCCCTGAGGACCTCTCATGCTGGGGGTTGGGGGGGGTGCTGTTCACGGTGACCCTGCATCTGTCAGGAGCGTGTGTTCTGAGTCACTACTGCTCTGCTGCTTATGTGTGTGTGTCCCTGGATAAGTCACTTTACCTTGCTGAACCTCACCTGCAAAACGGGGAGAGCCACCCTTCCCACTCCTGAAATAGTCAGGATTAAAGGAGAAAATATGTGGATGTTCTCAGTATGGCACCAGGGCCCAGCAGGTGTACAATAGATGTTAACTATTGTCATGTTGTTGTCATAAGGAAGATGAAGGGGCAGCCAAGGGAGCTTTGGAACCAAGGGGACATTTGAGTAGGGTTCTGCGGGATGAATAGGAGTCTTCAAGTAGCCTTGGCATATAAAACAGAAGAACCGTCTGTGCTAGGCACTAGATAGGGCCACAGGGAACCCAGGATGGGTAATAAGATTTAGTTCCTGACTCCAAGAGACAGGATGTAGACATGGCATGCCCTGGCATCGGAACCAAGTGCAACAGCACTGTGGGTGAGCATAACCCAGGCAGTCTAGAGCCCCCGCGAGTTCATTCACTCAACAGTGGGGAAGAAGGCAGTTACTGTCCAGGCGCTGCTGCAGATTGGGAAGCGGGGGGTTGAGGTACCTGTGTGAGCTGTGTATTCCCCCTTCCTCAATATCATCAATGAGTTTGTCTTTCGGAGAATTTTTCTCTAGACAGACCAGCGTAAAGCTGCAGCACCACAGCCAGGAACCTGCCTGACGCCGACTCAGCCTGTCTGTAGGGTTGAGGTGATCCTGTCTGAAGAGAGCTGCCCCTTCTTCTGAACATTTGGCCCTACACTTTTTGCCACCATGAACATTGGTTCTCGTGGCCACAGGGGTGTGTGTGTGGGGGGGGTGATTTCCTCAACTCTTCCTCCCCACAACCAGACACCGGAATGGGCCAGCTTCTGCTTGCTGTGTCCTTGCACGCCCATGGAGATGCCTTTTCTATTACTGGGAGAGTGAATAGTAGTGAAAAGCCTCAGGTCAGACCCCATGTCTGCTACCGTTGCTGTGTGACCTCAGAAAAGTTGCTTGCCCTCTCTGAGCTGCCGTTTCCTTACCTATACAACAGGAGGTTCTCGTTGATTCTTTACCCTGCTCCCTGTGACTCCTGCCCGACTGTTTTCTCGTTCCTTCGCTCCTCGCCATCGCCCGCCCTGGACGTGGGCACCCTGCGGCAAGGACCATGTCTGTTTTGTTCTCTGTTGGTCTCCAGCGCCGGGCACAGCGCCCGGCCCACAGCGGCCCTCTGTGTGGTCCTGAGGAGCAGATGGATGGCTTGTTGTGGACATCACGCGAGATGAGGCGGACAGGGCCCGCCGGGAGGGAGTGAGCTGGCGCGAGGACACATGGGATTCAGGAGCAGGATTCTCAGCCTCAGAATAGCCCACTGTGCCCGGGGGCACGGGTGCCCCTGCCGAGGACAGCGGCGCTGCGTTCGAGTCCTGCGGCTGCCACCCACTGAGGGTGACTCGGGGCCAATGACTCGGCTCCTTGGAGCCTGTCTCCTCTGCTCTAGAGAGTGGACAATAGCCGTCAGCCTTGGGCGCCGCGCGGGGGTGCGGACTGGCTGAGCTGCCATGCTGGCGGCTGAGGGGAGATGGGCAGGAACCCTGCCTCTGTAGGAGGTCTTGGCTGGGCAGGGCAGCCCGCCGCCCTCTCCCTCCCTCCTCTCCAGCCGGAGGAAGGAAGACGGAGCTGTTTGCCCCAAAGGGGAGGGGAGGCCAGGCCAGGCCAGGCCGTGTGGAGACACCCTGAGCCCTTACTCCATATACCTGCTCGAGAGTAAATCCGGGCGCTGACCCTCCCCGCTCCTCATGTCTGGGGCTCTGCCAGGAGGCCCCCTCAGCCTCCAGCACTCATAAATCTGCCCCCCACGCTTCTGTCAGACCCCTGCCCAGTCCTAACCCTCCTTTTGACACAGTCCTGGGTGGCCTCCCAGGGGGTCAGGAGGCATCTTTAGGCACCTGCCCTCCTCGCCCTCCAGTACGGGGGCTGCTGTCAATAGCACCTGGGACCCAGCTCCCCGAGGCCTTTGGGGTCCCTTCTGATGGAACCCTGAGCATGCCTATCTGAGAATCATCCCAGGGTCGCGGGATGAAGGGTCCCCAGCCGGGCTGCTGCCAGTGCTCTGAAGGTGTCCCATGCGCCCCCAGGCTCAGGACCCCTGCAGCTTTCAACAGGCCACAGAGTCAAGTTTCCTCTGCTCATTTGCCCAGATTTTCTCCGAGGTGTCTCTCCGCATCAGCAGTCCAAGGGCACTGTGCAACCCTAGAGTCCTGTTCCCTATAGAATCCACATGGGGTAAGGTTGCCCAGGGAACAGAGCAGGAGAAAGAGGCCAAAGATTACGTTCATCTCAGGCTGACATCATCAGAAAGTGGATGGGTGGGTGATGGATGGATGGATGGATGGATGGATGGATGGATGGATGGATGGATGGATGGATGGATGGGTGGTGGATGGATGGAT